ACTCATCCCCAGGCCTGTAGCGCTGCATGGGGTGGTTGTGACCCAAGTGCAGGACCCAGCACTTGGCCTTGTTGAAGCTCATACAGTTGGCCTCGGCCCATCGATCCAGCCTGTCCAAGTCCTTCTGTAGAACCTCCCTACCCTTGAGCAGACCAACACTCCCACCTAACTTGGTGCCGTCTGCAAACTTAACTAAGGTTGCATTCTATCCCTTCATTGAGATCATTGATAAATATGTTAAATAGAAGTGGCCCTAGTACTGACCCCTGCGGAGCACCACTTGTGACCGGACTGAGAGATCTCAAAGCAGGGGAAGGGCTGTTGCATGTCTGGGCTGCCTCCCTCCTTAGGCCAGGAAAGGCACCCAGCCCAGAATTCACGTAGCACCCACCACTTGTCTCTCAGCCTGTTGTTCCATGGTATCTTCTGTCTCCTTGTTAAAAAGTAATTGCATAAAAGACTCCCACACTTATCTCTATTTTCAGATTGTTTCAGCATTGAACCATTAATGCTTTGGCTGTTTCTCTCCACTCCAAACCCCTTGCATACAGTTATTTCCCTCCTCCTAAGGTATCACACACAAATCAAGGCACTTCTGTGTAGTCCTTCTGAGAAAACAACTCTTCTTTGTATCTGTTAGTACAAATGTATTTACTCTGAAGTTGTAACTTTTTCCTATAACGTCTCCCAGGTTAAAATCTGAGCTTTTAAAAGGTAGTAACTCAAATGGTGTATTTCCCCAGGATCCTTACCACAGACCTGGGACGATGAAGTAAACTGTTATTTCTGCTTATGTATCCAAGGACAAGTTCTCATGCCACAGTTTCACATCAGGAGCTCATGCTGAATTCTCGTCCACCAGGGCTGCGCAGGATTTAGGGGTACTCACTACTTTCCACCTTGTGTAGCTATGATCCTAATACTTTACACGGTGAATAAAAACATTAATTTAAGACCAAGTGCCACTAACTTCTCCAGTAATACCCCTGTTCCACAGTGATTTCCTAATGGAAACTATTTTGAGATTGTTGGATGGTTCCCAAACTTTGTGTCGGGTGATACTGAGTAACACTCATGTTTTGACAACAATAACGTGATACCTGAGGTGAGAATTACATGCCAAGCACTTAAATAATTCTATGTGCACCAATATTATAATCTTTGTCAACTCGCTTTGTCAATTACTGCCCCCCCTCCCAATAATGAAACTTACTTTACATAAAACCAGACTGACGTGAATTCTTTATCATCTGAGTCCTGCATCAGCTTTTGCATTATTTGGCCCAGGATGACTCTTAATGCTACCAGGCATATAGTAACTCAGTTCATTCCCTAGTTAACAGGATGAGTCATGAATTTGTCGCATTTGGACTCTTTTGGAGTTTCAATGCTATTCCAAGATTTAACTTCTTTTCAGTAAGACAGGTGTGTCTGCCTGCCTCAGGAGCACACAGTCCCAGTAAAGTGTGCAATGTTGGAAGTAAGAAAGTGGAACTGTTTTCACAATTTGTTTACCCCTCAAGGAAAAAGCACTAAAAAATCTGGAGAAATTTGCCTGCAGACTAAGAATGTACTTATTCTATCAAATACAGCTTTCATATTGTTTCACTACATTTATAGTGATTTTCTTCGTCAAAGTAACTAGCACTTAGATACAATGAGAAACCATACCCTGAAATTACAGAGCCTGACATCAAAGAAGGCAGCATAATTTTTGAAGAAAACGGGTGGGTTTGCCAATTAAATTCCTTTGCCTGCCACAATGACTCCCCTCTAAAGATTTCAAAACACCTAAAAAATACACTGCGCTCGATAACACAGTGCTAACTCGCTGGGAAAGCCAGAAGGGGTTGTGGCCTTCCCATTAGCAACTAGGTGTAGATGCAGGAGATGTTTCTACCTCATCTGGCAGGGTAATACCTGACAGCTTTTCTCGTCTGTCATCTCAATGGTAAGTTGCGAGCTTCACTTCAGTGTGCCGTGAAGGCAGGTAGGACTTTGACAATAGCGGAGATGAGGGAACGGAAGTATCCAGAACGCTGTCTGAAGCCACCTAAACCAAGAGGTCCTGGGCAGTACCTCTTCCCCTCTCCTCTCCCAGACAGGCTTTAAATGACGTATTGCTGTCACAAAATCCACGGAGTAACTGGGAATTGCAAGCTGTCTTCTGCCTCCTACTCTGTTTTGTTTCTGTGACTCGCCCATTAACAAGGTTAACTGTGTCTTACCACTTTGGGGTTTATGCTGATACTTATAGCCATCAAAAATCTTGCTGTTAGTATCACCGAAAAAAAGAGAGCATACTGTAGGTTTTTATCAGATCTGATTCATAAAAAGAGATGTTAGGACCCTCTTTCTTCTCTATATAAATGACTAGTTCAGTGACAATAACTTTTGATAGACACTGTGAAGAGTAATATGCTTTCTGTAGTTTTTAAGCATGTCCACACTGGATGAATTACGGTATCTTATGTGTGAGTATGTAATTGTTCTACGAAACTCACAACTTGGCTAAATTCCGAGGAACCTTTGAGACAGTCATGAAGAAACGTTACCGATTTTTATATCTGATTAGGAAGCCTATTACACAAACTCAGTGTGTGTAATCCTGGAAGCCAAATTAACAATAACAAAAAAATTAGAAACTACCTATATAATCTTTTCCTAACTAAATGTTACTTTGATCAATACCCTTTTAAACTCTATCTGGATGATCCAACTATTAGTAGGTAAGTACATTCCTTCAAATAAAAGATCCCATACACGTATATGTATCTGCATTTTCAAAGGGAGAATGAAGTGCGTCAGGAGACTGAGATGTTAAAGCTCTGATCTACAAACTCCAAAGTGAGACTTTCCTGAGTCAAACCAGATCCTTTGCTCCTTTGTGATTTTTCCAAGCAAGTTCTAGGCTAGTATGAGATGGGAAAACCAATGGGAGTACCAATGTAGCGGGGCTCTTCGTGTCTGTTACTCCAAGAGATGATGCGCTTCTCTAGGATTATGTCCTCTACTCCACAGATAAATCTCATCTCTCAAGTGGTCTCATTCAAATAAGCGAGTTGTACTGGGTTACTGTATTCCACACCTAAATACAAGGGTTTAAGCCAAAAGCTTGTAGCTTTTCCCCCTCACCATATCAGTTTGTCTAATCTTAAATATATTGCCTCATTTCATCAACCATCTCAGAGTTGGTATCTTTCCATTTGAATAATTATTGCTCTATCAGTATTCTAAAAAACATGTAATAGTTTTTTATGGCAATAAGCCTTTCTTTTCGCAGCCTTATAAATGTTTTTAGAGCCAGACACCGACAGGACAGAATCCCTTTTGTATATACTAACTTCTGGAAATACTATTAATCTTATTCTGTGTTGGTCATTAAATAGCCATTTTGTAACCGACAATGTAAGTCTCAGACAAAGACTACCATTACACAAACACTCTAAATAAGGCCTTGAATAGCTTTATTGAAATCTGTATAAATAAACATGCGCATTTCAAATGTAAACCCAAGTGAACTCAAGTGCAGACAAAATTTTAACCTCTGTCATGCAGGAGGTTAGTTTACATTTAAAAAAAAAAAAAAACAACCTCAAAGCAGCTTTAAAATACCAGGATGAAACACCAGTTTTAATATCAAGGTATAAAGCAAAGCCATGTCCAACATACCTCATTTATATCCTGGTCAAATGCAATTTTTTTAAACTTTAATGCTAACATAAATAAATAATTTACCAAAATGTGCACTCACAGAGTGAACTTTTATTTACAATACACAATTTATAACCTATTGTATTTGATTAGTTCAAGTGAAGAACATCATACTTTTTGCTTTTTTCTTTTTCTTTTTTTTTTTTTTTAATTATTTGTTTAAACAGTGGGACACGAAGCAACTCTCCAGGTAGTAGATATGTGAAGTGTGCCCCCGCACTTAAAAGCCCCTCTCAAAGGCAGTATTGTATACAAATCAACAATACATTCTTCCAACTAGATCAGAGGGAAAGCAGCAAATTAAAAAAATGCTTCAAACTGTCACACTTATTTTGGCATCCTGGACCCCTGAACATAGTTAACTAAAATCCAATTCAAAGTCTGAAGCCTTATACACTGTACAGGTTCTGACTCGAACATGCAAATGCCAATTCTCTTATAATGAGTTACCTGTTCAGATCTGCTGTAAGGCTATGGTGAATTCCATCAGGAACACACGAAGAAAATTAACAGGCCTACCTTTAAAGTAGTTTTGTTCAATAGTTTAAAGGCAGGTTATATCGAAAAAATTCTCATCTAAGCCCAATACACAGTCATTACTATGGATACAGAATACTATTAACTCTGACCCTATTACAGAGTAGTTTGCAAGCTGTCAAACTACAGAAACTGGGGAGAGAGAACTTAGAGCACGGTTTTAAATTTTGGACTGACGCCAGATTAAATTGATGCATGTCTTATTAGCAAGGTAACAGGAATTATGTCTGCAGAGTAGATTCCAACAAGCAACAAAGGATACTTACATTTAATTGAGAAACTTTTTGTTAATGCAGCATGAAATCCAGAACCTGTTCCAAAGCAGCCGTAAGATGAACATAATATTCTGGATGCTCAACTATATCACAAAAGGTTAAAACACCTTTTCAAGCTATTTCTTCTATTGTGACCAAATTAAAAAAAAAAAAAAAAAGTAGGGAGAAACATAAATTTGCTGTTTCAAGAAAACTACTGCTTGTATATTTATGACATTTTTACTTGTAGTCTGTGTGACAGCCTAAGGAACATGTATATATTCATCCAGAAACTAGACTTGGCAGTAGTATTCTTGCAGTACTAAGAAAATAAATGCCAGAAGTCCATAGATTTAACATTTTAGTTATTAAGTCACATCCAAAACAAAAGAAAACGTAATCCATCAGAACAGCAGCAGAAAACTTAAAAGGGGTTTATTTGTGATTTCCTATATATAGCTTGTGAATACAAGACTGTAAATGCATTAGAGACAATTTCTGTTTAAGTTTTTATTGTTTCACTTCAAGTACTGCACATGTTAAAATGTAATAAAGATTTACATTCTGTTATCTGAAATTCCCCATCTCAGATTTTTATTCTCAATTTGGTGGGCAATTTCACTCTTTCAATGGGTATCCCCAGTAAGAAAGTCTCTTTTATGGCTTCTAGTTCTTCCATTAGTTAGTGTGCATACAATTTTCATTTTCTATATCGTTATCATTTTCATTGCTGTCTTCATCACTTTCTAGTGGGATGCCTGTGGCAGCTGAAGCACCTTGTTTAGTTTCCCGGTCAAGAGGGAAAAAGCCAGTTCCACTGATTGTGTCCTGTCTCTGGTAGAAGAGCACATACGCCGCTTTGGACTGTAAAAGAGAGAAGTGCAACATGTTCATGAGGCTCCAGACAAAACAGTTACAATCCAAGCTGTCCTTTTTTTTTTTCCTGGTTCCAAGTCTACAAGGTAGAATTACAAAGAAATCCAACACCTTCATACAAGTTATTTTCAAACATCGGAGCAAACCATTTTTGTTTTGTACTGTCCTTTGAAAGAACACAAACTACTACCTATAAATTTACTGCAAGGTTCCTGATTTACTCTTCATTTTTATTCCCTCAAGGAGGAATCACCACCAACAGTCCCAATTTTAGAAATGCAAAAGCTACTTGCCACTATCTGGTCCTCACACGCAGTGGACACGCTACTGTCATCAAAGTAGTACCATTTTCCATCATCCTTATTTTTTGCAAAAGCAGTATCTAGGACAAAAAAAGTACAGTGTCTAAGGACTTTGTATTTTCATAGGTGTAATACAACCAGTTGCTAAAGCGTTACTGTCAAACACTTGACATTTAACTAACTAAAACCTGTTATCACTATTAGACTCATACTTTCACACCTTTTTTTTTTCTACGCAAAGCTTAACCAGTAACGTTGCCCTTCTAAACGTATAGTGAGAATGTACAGAATGTATAGTAAGCAAGGAGAGTCAAAATAAAATCCCTCAGCCACTTTTTCGTTTTTCTCTCTTCTTTCAAGGAGATGCAAAATGCACAAAAATACAGACAAGTAAGACACAATCAGTTGTAAGAGTACAGTAGCTCTTATGGAGCTCTTATGTTTTCTCTTTTCAGAACATGAATACCTGGAGGTATAAAAGAACCTGCAATTATCCTTGAAAGCTCATTTCATATAGATTTTTTGTGTTAGAATACTTGCGAAAGCATTTCGAGGTAATTAAAAAAATTGTCCCTCAACCAGTAAAAAATGTCATTGATTCCAAGTGATCAGTTCTTAAATCAAAATAAACATGGAAAGAAAGCTGACACGTAGAATGATGGTATTTGAAATGAACTTACAATGCCCTCCTCCCATTCCTCCATAGTGGTTGGAGACAGCAATCAAGTTGTAGCGGCAAGGCCCTGCATTGGGATTAATAAGGAACTCTGACATGTCCAAGTCACTGTTTAAAAAAACAAAAACAAAACAAAACCCACACACACAAAAAAAAACAAAACACAAAGAAACAACCAAAAGAAGGTCACGTTAATAATATTTTTAACCATTTTGCATTTTAGTGGTCGTTGAGCCCTTTATTTTACGTTCCCCACAAAAAACACATACGCCCGACTACACTGGCAGTGCATCTATTTCACTCTGTGAGGAGCGGAACAGGACCCAGTAATCTTAGCCAAAACTACTCACAGAGCTCTTCCATACTAATCTACTATCGTTATTATTCCAAGTTCGTACTTTTCACAAACAAGCATTTTGTCATCAGATTCACATAATTGCAGGATTAAACATGTGCCCTAGTCTCACACTAACTTTTGCAGTTCTAGCACCAAAATATTCAGGTTTCTTACTTTATTGGAAAGTCAACCAATGTATCCAATTTGTCCCTCATATATCTGCTGTAGGAAAAGCGTTTTAGATGAACTACCAGAACAGGGGGCAGTGACCACAAGTCTAACTTCTTGGTGGCTTGCTGATGTTCTTTACAGTTTGGACAATACCTAAAAGGAAAAAAAAAAAAAAGATTTTAAATAACTGCAGCAGGTATGTCCCTTAAAACACATTACCATAGAGACAGCCAGTAACATGGGAGGAACTAAACGAGCAAAAGCTGAAACGCACACACATGTTCCATCTTCTGTTACTAATGCCACTGATACCCCTTCCAGTTTAACACGTGAGGTGCAAGTGTGCAAACGTGCTCGCAGTGAAGCTCGACAGCTTTTTAAACACAACTGTGGTTCTTCCAAGTTTCAATTTCTGAATTCATCCATCTCCCATGCCATCCCACCTACCACTAAAACCAGGTAACAGTGACTACTGGAACTTGAAAAAACTCCTCACTAAAAACCCTTGCCTTGCTAGTAGGCAAGGACTAAACAGGCTGTGACTCAAAAACTTCCGCTCCCTGCAATGCATACTTGAGCCTGTCAAGAACTACGGCTTGGTGAGGAAGGTAAGAACGAACAATGGATGGAAGCAACTCTTTGTGGTCTGTGCATATTCTACATCTTGGTATCCAGCAGGTAAAGATCTAGTAAAAAGAGATGAGCTCTACTTAAAAAAAGACTGCACAAGTGTTTTTACATCGCAACATTGGTTAAAGACAAGGAATTAGGAGAACTGTAAGAGCGGGCTGTAACTGAAGAACTGTTTTCCCAGTTGGCTTAGAATATCTGGAATACAAATATTGTTGGACTAGGGATGATGAGCTCTCGTAGATTAGACCTGTGAAGACCTGACAAATGAAGAAAGACTGTGATAAATGAACTCTGGTGACATGTATCTGGTAGCCATGGCTTGACTCCAGCAGTAGTTGTATTTTGTAGTTTAAATACTCTTCATAAAATGTGCTGCAAAAATGGAAGCACTTCACCATGCTTGAATTATACGGTATCTCCAACAGCCTACCCAGTGCTGTATAATCTAGCCAACCCAGAAAAAAGCGAGAACTTCTAAGTCAGCCCTCTCCCCTGCCCAGATGAAGAGGATCTCTGGTGAAAAAGTTTGGAAGGCTCCAAAACTTTTAAGTATCCACAAAAGAAAAAGTGGCAGACCCCTTTTTCAAACTTCATTCTGAGCTTCAGGTATTGCTGAAGGATTCTTATCTGCTAGAAAATTCCTGGAGAAGGACCTTATGGGAACAGCCTGTAATTATGAATATTCAGATGTGATTTCAAGTCATAATTTGGAAGAATCATGAATCAGAATAAAGTCTCTGCCAAAACCTTAATGGTTGGAACATGAATTTGAGAGGTTCTGTTGACCACAGACACCGCCCATCCCACAAACCTGTTGTTTAAGCACATCCCTATTTCATATATCAATGTAAGGCAAGTTATGTTATTTGCATAAAAAAACTTCAGCATGCACCAGCCTTTCTCATCTCACAAAAAGGAATATTTGTTCAAATCGCTGCATACAATTCGGCACAGTATTATTCACTCACTGTGGATCACAGTTCACAGACTAGAATATTTTATGGATCTACCCTTCCTCCTAATTCTGAATGCATTAACTGTCTCCCATACAAACATAACCTTCTGTATATGGTAACAATTTTAGTTAAGCAATAGATCAAAATAGAAAACATTTTGAGAATTGTCAACTACGTTTGACAATATTCAAAAACACCATTAAGAAATCAATTAATCATTTCTGTTAATGTTCAAGTCTGTTTTTGATTACATTTTGAGAAATACACCATAGAACATATCCATTTTAATTTTTTGTCCTTACCATGGGTCTTCAGCACCTAGTTTTTCCTTTGTTGTGAACAGCTCAATGCAATCTTTTAATTTCACAAAAGGCTTTTTGGGAGGCTTATATTCCACACTTTCATGTTTTTCAAAATCCTAAAGAGAAGTATTTCTTGAGTTAAGAGAACAAATGAAACAAAACTGATTTTAGTGATGTCGTCTTACTACAAACAGTAACTACAAAGCTCCTATATATGGAAAAACTGATCAGAAACCATTCAAGCAAAAAAGTTTTCACAGCTTCAGATTTAATTCCAAATTAGTAAGCCTCAGATTTGCTAATTAATTAGATGTGTAAATGAAGTTTATTTATGACAACGTATTTACTACGAATAATGTGCGTGGGGGGAAGACATATAAGCTTCTTCTTTTGAAGACTTACAACGCCCTATGTCACATTAACGAAGTTGTATTTTTCACATTAAAGTTTTATTAGTGCTGGAAAGGGGAGCAACATAAATAGCTTACCTCTGCTGCACTGTCATCAAAATATCTCTTCTTCAATTCAGGATCCCAATCCAAAGCAAGGAAAGATCTTTCTAAGATTAAAAACATGTTTTCTCTTAATATTATTTCTTGCTTTACAAGAAATTGTATTAACTTTGGGCAAACACTCTCCAGAATCAAAAGCTGCCCAACCTGTTCCCCATGACTTACCGTCAAGCCTAGGTTGCCTATCATCAAATCTAATATGCCTGGTATCATCTTTGATGTAGTTTATGTCAGTATTGCCTAAATTATTGAACTGGAATGTAAACAGTCGCTTTTTGTGTCCCATAAGTGGTTGAGTTTTGCAAGTATCCTCAGTACATAATCCATTTTCAGAGTCATTGTCACCTCCAACTGAGTCTTCTGACTGGCTGTTTTCATTCTCTGAAGGAAGTTCCTGATCCTGGCTGGATTCGTCATCTTGTTCATCTGTTTCCATTTCACCTGAAACAATCGAAAGCGCAACAAGGAAGAAATAACAACAGTTGAAGACACTACTGAATTAGCTTCCGTTTCAAATTGAACACAAAACACTAAAAAAGTGTAGGCATCCAGTCTTACTTGGAGATCCTTCTTCATGTATTCCATTTGGGCCATTACCATTGATACCATGGTCCTTACAGCAGTGTAGGGATCCTTCAGTGTCTTCACTTTCAGTGCATGTTTTTACATATCGGCTGAACACAACAAATGAAAGCAACAGTTAGAATCAATGGATTTTTAAATAGTCACATTGTTCAAGGCAGATAATTAAACAGTTACAGCAAATCCTTTCTAGTGTACTGTATTCCTGCACTCCTTTTTATTCAGAATTAACAGTTTTATTGCCTAACATGGCTACTGTTACAGGCACATCTGAAATTCTGCTCAATGATCTTCTGTTTTTGGCAGTTACTAGATTTTATACAACTTGATTCTTGGTATTTGTCTCAGTTTGTCTGGAAATCACTTTAACTGTTCATTAATTATATTTTTACACAAAAAAATATATGGGTTCACTTACAGAGAAGTTCACATCAACAGACAATGAGGCATAAACTTAAACTTGAGGTTATGTAATTCTGATTTCTTCCACATAACGGCACTTACTCCAGTCCAGTTTCAGAAAGTGTCTACCATGTAGCTTCACAACATAAATTGGTACATAAACTTGTATAGTAGATATTGTAACTATACAGTTACGTAACTATATACAAGGTATAACTGCAGCAGAATAATTGGTAAAATGTTTCCATTTCACCAAGCCCTAACAAACACCTACGTATACAGCAGAATGAATTCCCCAAAACTGACAATACAGATTGACTCTCTACTGTCTTCTCAAATAATTTTTGGATGAGGTCATGCCAACAAAAAAATCAAATTAAAATACACTATATTCACATCTTAAGTGGCTAAAACTTTAATCTAATACACTTAACAGAAAGCAAATAAAAGATTAAGTACTCAAATCTAGCCAGTTCGCTAGCAAGGCATGTATAAATAAGCGACTACTCATTCCAACTATTAGCATTATTCACAACAAACATGCTTTTCTTTCAATAATAACCTTACCACATTCTTAGCAGCAGCAGGTTATACAATTTGTCTTCAGTGTTGTTTCTAGGCACTGCTATGAGAAAAGGTTGACCAAACAGTGAAGAACTACTATGGCTGTAGCTAGTGTGCCTGCACTTTTCCCTTAAACAAACAGGAATTATAACTTGTTCTGTATCTTCTGTTCTATTGATAGCAATTTCAAATCTAAAAGAAGAACAATCAGAAAGACAAAGGACAGATGTTATTTAAACGGCTACAAAGCGGAAAAATTAGAAATTAATAAACCCCCCAAGATTTGACTTTATCTTATGTCTAGGTTTTAATCTTTTGCAAGTAACTAAACAAACTGCAAAGAGACATCAAGTATGTTATTTGTACTTACACATAAATGTCATCACGCTCCATAATACTACTTAAATTTTCATCCATGCCAAATATCCTGTGGAACCTGTGATTGTATATATCGGTAACAATCATCTAAAAAGAAAATGGAGTATACATCATTAAATCAGGTTAATAGATGTTAAAATGTTCATCGTGGTGCTTCATACAAGAAATCACTCTTACCTTATCTGCAGCAACACCAGACAAAGCTGACAATGCTGTGCAAAGATCCAATATATTTCCAATTTTGGGAACAACTACTTTGTACTAAAAAAAGAAAATGTCACTTTAATTTCTTCAGAGAACAAATATGCATGAGAAAAAACACAAACAACTTATCACGTGTTCAGCACACTTCATGTACTTCTTTCAGATTCCTGAACTTAAGGTGTAAAGTGTGTAATTCAACTAATGCAAATTCCAAAAGCTGCTGAAAACGTAGTAGTTACCTTCCCTACTCTACCCATACAAACACACAGACTTTGAACACTACACTTATTAGTTTATACAATGCTTTTTAAAATGTTATTTTACTTTTTCCCTAAGACGACTAACAGCATCAATTACTCAGATTTATATCCAACAGCACCTACTTATTTACGCATTTAAATGGTATGCATGCTATTGACCAGATTCTGAAGTTTGGAATACAACACAAGTTGTTTATAAAGTACTACTGGGGAAAAAAAGTAGCAGCAGGCAATAAAGACTGAATTCTAATTTCACATGCAGAGAGAGAACCTGATGATTAACAGTCAAAAACAACCTCTCTGTGGCTCTCCTTAGTGCAGTACACCTGCAGTTTGTACTGCAACTCCACACAGGACTCTTACCTGTTACTTGCATAATAAATAAAGACAAGATTAATTAGAAATAAGGTATTATAACTTTGTAATTAATTGCCAAGTACAGCATGTGTTTGGTATCTCCTTAAGTCATATAGTTATTCAGACATAAAAAAGCTCTACTGAACTCATAGGGTTCTTCCCAAACTCTTAATTCCCGCATAAACATCTTGCAGGCCATACAGGGTCATCTTCAGCTACTGTGTGTCCCCTGTGCAAAGCTGTTCTCACAAATAATTAAATTTCTAGCAGGCTCATCTCCCTTTAGTTAATACATGTCCCTTTATCTTTGACTTCCTTAATTCATATTGCCTTTGAGAAAACTCCCTTTCCCCCCACTTTCCTTCTCATAGTACTCTGATTTAAGGTGTTAAAGCGTTTCTGCAAGTCTGTCTAACTGCCCATGTCTTACTTGTTTCACCTGCCCTTGCTTACCCCATACAGTAGAGCTAGAACCATTCAATCATGATTTTGTTACCATAACCTATGTCCATTTCTTCATGCCATTCTAAAGGTGTAGAATACCATCCTTCCTAAGAGAGTCAAGAGAGATACTCTTTACAAAGAAATTTCTCCTTTTGACTATTAAGTGATAGCACAGAAGAATTCAGGACTACCTAATATATTTAGTCATGTGGGTTTTTTGCATCACTTATTACCGACATTTGCCTTTGAGGCTAAGAAACCGAGGAATTAAGTCTGGCCTAAGTGTATAATTATTTGGGTTTTTGTTTACAACCATGCAAATTCATTATAGCAACACTAAAATAAAAACTGAGGACAGCATACATTTTAAAGATTAAGAACCAACCATAAAGAAGTGATAAATACCTTCCTTGAAACTGACAGAAATCTAAGAAGGTATACATAGTCTTCCCCAGGCTAAGTGGGAATTCAGAACACATACCGGAAAACTCAAGCTTGCTGGATTTGCTCATTGTATTTACACATTTAAAAAAAGGAAAGGAACCTAAGTTCATTGTTAATACCACATGAATTATGAGTTTTGTACATAAACTAAGAGGCTTACCTGCATAGGCTTTGCAAGTGGATCCATTCTAACTAAATAAACTTCCAAAGTGCGTTCTTTTTTCATGGGTAATGGAAGTGTCAAGTAACAAAAAGGATCAAAGGTTACAGATATCTTAGCACACTCAGGACAAACTAGGGTGGATTTAAAAAGGCCATGAAATATATCTACAATGATGGAATCATTTCTTTTTAAATGGTTTTCCCAGGCTTCTTCAGCAACCACCTGTAATTAAAGCATGACCTGGGTTATGACAAAGTAGTAGAAAATGAATAGTGAGAATTATTAGTAGGAGTACTTGATAGAACATTCTCAGTTACCACCTAAACACAGAAATCTCACTCCAAAGGACCCTGTAAGGTATGTTACTACTATCAGGACTGCAGGTTAAAAGTTGTATGCTTTTCCTAGGACAGAGATTCTATTAGTGGTATTGCACAGTCTGAGAGTGACTTCAAGTGTCTTGGGGCAAGATAAAAGCAAATAAAACCAAAAATTCCATCTGAAGTAACTCATACTCCTAACAACATTATCTATATCCCTGTAGCTCAATGCTAGAAGAGTTTCCCTAAAGTAATAGTACCAGAAAGCGACAGAACGCAGCATACTGTAGATATAAGAATAAAAGCACAGCAGAACGGAAATTGTTTTTCCAACTGAACTCAGCATTGAATTGAAGGAAGTCTTAACAAAGCTTTAACACCCTCCCACCCCCACAATTATCCTACAAATAAACAGAAATTCACACAGGTACTTGAACAAGATCTTCATTTTAAGGTCTTGGCTTATATTCTGAAATCTCTCCCAGAAAAAGCAACACATGATCAGTGTCCCAATCTCCCAGTGCACAATCACATAGAAATTATCTTGCAATGTATAGCCTTGACTACAATGAAGATGATCAACACTAAAAGCACTACCTTGTCTGGTCTCCCGTCTGCATCCTTTAACTGAATGTAAGGCTTTTTCCTAATTCGATTCAAATCCTCATGCAATCCATCCAAGAGAAAAGCCAGTAGCTCTTGACAATCTTGTTGCTGATAACCAGAAAACTGTGGTGCAAATCGTCCCACTTGTGTCTAAAAAAAATAAATACTTCTCATCCCTTAACTGTTATACAGCAAATACACTTCTGAGATGATGCAGCAGAAAGTTGAAAAAGTAAAACTTACAAAGTCACAAAATACAAGCTTTTCAATGGAGACAGGAAGCCAAAACTAATTCTCAAAGACCAAAACACACAAACAGTTGACACTTATTTAAATATACATCCAAATATTTTAACAGTTAAATGAATGGACTGCATACTGATGACTATTACTTCAAATTCTTACTCTTGCATATTTCCATAAGTTTTGTATACTTAAAGTACAAAACCAAAACCGACCGTGTACGTTCAGGTTAAAATTCCTTACTGACCTTAAATGCTCTTGGGGTAACATAGCTGTATTTTCCTGACCACATTTGCTTGATAAGCTCTGCATAAGATTTTGCGATTTCACCTCTCATTCCTAAAGGATTGTCAAAATTCAGCTCTTCTTGGTATTTATCATTGAGGAAGTATTCTGTAAGAGGAGGTGTGTTGCTCAGACACTGTAAACAGAAATACAGAATTTTTAGAACAGTGACTCGACTTAATTCTAAACAAAGAATGTTTGAACTTTGTTAGAGCAGCCACGAACAATACTTTTAAACTGTACTGCCTAGTGCCTGCAAGGCGGAAAAAAAAAAATAAAGTCTTTTCCAGAAACAAATTATGGTTTTACCCCAAGAGTGGCTGCAGCTATCATTACAAGTTACGCACAGATAATATTTTTCAAAAGCTTTATGTCAGAATTTATTTATTATTATTATTATAATCAGACATAGTAGTCCAGCCAACCACAGTGTGACAACACAACTGGTATCAAGGTTCAAAATAAACAGAAGAAGGTGGTTCTTGATACACCAGTAGTAGCTTTCTGCTTGCTGAAAGTTGTTATAGATGCATAAAGTTTACAGGGCCTCAAGGAGAGACTGCATAGGTACTCGGAAGGAGCGCCAACAGGGCTTATTAAATTAAATTACATCACATTCAGAACAACATGTGAGCAGAAAATTGCTGAAAACAGAGAGATATTTTTGGCAGGGGTGGGAGGGAAGGGAAGGTGAGGATGCTTGCCCTATTCCTTCTCTTCCTAGGCATCTGCTTATGGATGCTGTTGAAGACAGCAACCTATGCTAGACGGACTAGACCCTGAATCAGAATTGGTGCAGCCCTTCTTTAACGTTCTTTTAAATTCTGTGAAGCTGTTTAGAGCTGAAATTAGTTCAAGGAAAGCAAGGGCCTTGGTTTAGACTGAGACAATGACTTATCCGCTGTACTAGTCTCTTCTGTCAGCACTTAAGAGATAGCAGGATGTAATCACGAAGGATGATTTGCAATTTGAGGAAACAACTTTGAATTTGTGTGTGCCACTCCTCACTCTCCAAACTTTAAACAAAACCTTTTCCATCACTCAGAAACGATCCTCACACCTTAGCATATGGATTTAGCAAAGTTTCTTCATTAAATATTACAAGCTTTTCTGCATTCTTTCCTCTATTAAAGACTGCAAGAAAGGTCAAGTATTTCATCAGTCTCATCTGCCTCTCTGCAAACAAGGGGAAGAACAAGTATTTCAGCTCCACATATGCTACTGTGTAAGATGTAACAATTGAGACTGGAAGAATTACAACTTTACCAAATGGGGCAAAAAAGTTATTCCTATTTCTGCCTACCATATCTGTGTAATATTACAAGGCAAAACTAGTCATATGCTGTAGAGAGCTGAGTTTCATGCCTATATTGCACTCCTTTCTTTCTCTCCCTCCTAACGTAAAGCTTTCATGAGCTAACAACATTGCAAAAAACATCCTGATGTTACAGGCCCTTTTGGACACTGAGGGTTGAAGAATGCTCATTTTTCTCTTGCTACATGGCAAAGAGCTTTTACTCCTAATAGCGGTGATCTCAAGCCCTCCCCGCCTCACAGATCCATGTTGTCAGTTCTGAACTGATCCATGCAGCTAAGAGGAGGAACGCTCAGTCTCTTAAATCCATACTGAAGTCCCAATCAGTGTTTTCACGAGAGTATTTTTAGCACCAACCTAAATGAACGGATGGATGACCCAGTTCCACCAGATACCCAGAAACGATACAGTGCAAACCACGCTGAACTAACTATAAATAAAACTACACTTTAAGTAAAATTTCACGTTCACTCTGAGTGATGTGACAAATCCCACTGCCCAAAGAAGTCCTGCCCCTTCTCTGCTGATCCTCATCTGATTGCACAATAAACATACCTCACTAGACTGTCAAAATCCTATTTTTCTTCCTCACTTTTCTTCTGGATTATTTTTGGGCTGGTTTAGGAGATCAAACCAGTTCAGCTGATCAGCTTAGCATAAGGAATTTCCAGAACAAGGAAATAAATAGTGCAAAACTAGTAAATTTTTCTATAAGTTCTTGTCAAGCACTACACAATGTGCTGACAGTGTGTTGTTTCACCAAAAGACTATTCTTTTTCTAGTTTTCACCTGATATATTAGTTTTGTCACTTTCTCAGAATATTAATTTATATTTGTATATATAAGTCAGGAAGATTATTACAGATTATTTCCCATTTTCCTTATAACAATTTCCACATTCCAACGTAAGATGATACTGATGGTAGTACTGGAACATGCAAGTATCCACCTGAACACGGCAATTTCTGAGATACAGGGCCAACATCTTTTCAAAAGTATCAGATGCCACAACTTTTAAAAAGAGTAGTTGCTAAAGTAACTAACACAGTTGGCCACATACCCACTGATCCTTGCAGTGCAACTGACAAAGCGAAATAATTACAAACATTACAAATTACTTCTTGAAAAGGCTGACAATGGAAAACTATTTAAGGTCATGACTAAAGTCACAGGGAAAAAAGCATCCAGAAGCCAATTTGAAAGGAAGCCTACATTATTTTCTCATGATGTGATATGTTGTAGGTTATCAAGGAAGCCTTATGGAAAGCATCAATGGGGGGGGGAAGAACTATTAGAATGACGACAACCTACCAGACAGCAAAGTCATCAGATTTGTGTGTCCTGTTCAACCTAGTGTTTTTGGGTTTCCTTGTTTCTTTGTTTTAAAACACAGACCTAGGTAAACTAACAAGTACACTGACAGATGAAGAATAATAGAAACCAAAAAAGCTAAACAAATATGGTAAAAAACCCCCCGGAAAACCATTTGTGAACTAAAGAGGTAACAGAATGAAACTGCATTTCAGGTACTGCAGTCTCTGTAAGTTTTTTTTAACCAGCAAAACTTCTGTAAATTGCTCAAACTCTGAACCCAAACTGGTCGTTTAGCTAAATGATCATGGGAAAAGATGTAGCAAAGGAATCTGTGGGTAACAACTATTTATGCCATCAGTATCAAAGGATCATAATCAACCTTCAAGAAAATTGGACAAATAATGCAACTGGACGAAACAATGCTTCACACAATCTGTGCATCAACTATCATGCAACACTGCAGGTACTGTTGATGTACAAACACATGCACACAAAAACCCTGGAAGAACGCTAAACTACTGAGTCAAAGAGGAGACAATCACCTGTAAAGACACATATAGTCTACTGTTTAGAGAGCACAGCTATAACTAGTAGGGTGTCAGAGGCACTAATATGCACAGGAAGATGAACAATAAATAATCTTTATTTTTAGTGCCTTTTATATCTCAAAGCTGTAGCCTCATTGGAATACTGTAATTCCAATGCTAGGCCATGATCTTGTTAGAAAGTTTAATTGAAAAGAAAATAACATGAACGAAGAAAGAGGGCCACCAAAACAGTCAGTGGCTTGGGAGCACTCGCTCTGTGACAAAAGGCTGAAGCATGAGGGCTTGTTCAGCCTGCAGAAGAGACTGTTTCACAGAGACCCAACAGCAGCCTTCTAGCACCTACAGGGAAGTTAAGGAGAAGGTGGAACCAGGCTCTTCACAGTGGTGCATAGTGGGACGACAAGAAACAACGGGCCTAAGTTGAAACAAGAGAGGTTAAGGATATAAGGAAAAGCATTTTCACTGTAAGAACAGTCAAGCAGTGGAGACGAGAGGCTGTGCAGCCTTCCTGGAGGTTTTCAAGACCCAACTGGATAAAGCCCTGGGCCACCTGGTCTGACCTCAGAGCAGACCTTTTTTTGAGCAGGAGGTTGTACTAGAAACCTCTTGAAGTTCCTTCCAACCTGAATTATCCAATGATCCTACAGTAATGAGAAAATATTTATTCACATCCCATAAGGGATATTACATCAAAATAATGATAAAAATAAAATTTCAAACCACAGAAAATATCATTACCTATTATGCCAGTGAACTGGGGAAATGAGAAGCAGACAATAAGATCACAAAATTGAGTATCATGATCCTTCAGCTGTCCTACTTAATCACAATTTTATGCAAGGGACATTGAAATTTCATATTTCAGCCTTCTAATAAAAGACCAAGAAGTGACTGCCTGAAAGAAAGATCCAAGTAATAGGAGAAAAAGTGATTCACTTTACACCTGTCTATCCTACTTTTGTCTGAAGTGCTTAGTGTCAGCTGTGGTGAAAAGCACTCAGCTAATAAACCCCTTAACCCAAACTCCATATGCCTACGGCAATTGAAACAGAGCACTAAAAACCTTAATAATTTCACGTTTCGGTGAAAAATGTTACATTTCGTCTGGATAAACTCACAGTCATAAGTAACTGTAAAGGGAATGTTAATCAGCTTTCTGAAGAAAGAAAATTGCTGAAATACCCCATTACAAAGCTCTGAGCAGCTGCTGTTCAAAAAATCGAGAATATATAATCACACTCATGGAAAAAACACAAAAATGAAAATGTGGAGAAAAAAAAGGAAGTGTTTTTTAATTAAAACATTTACTTTCATTCTTCTATTTTTGAATCACAAAATGAAAACGTAGTGAACTCTCAGGTTTTCACTTCAGAAGAAAAAACATTTCCCACAGAGCTCTCAATCACTAGTATCCCACCAAAAGGGCAAAGCAATACTTAGGAAACATCCACAGGTGGCAGTACAGCAATACTTCAGAGTTATATTGTTTTCCTACTTTTTTTCAGCTTAGAACATAGCCATGTACATAAATGAATTGAATAAAACATCTACCTGCCAAATACTCTTGGTTTTTTTGCTTGATATAGGTTCAAGCATTCATAATAATATGTTTTCATAAAGTCCACAAGCTCCCTTTTGTCATTCGTGCTTTATTTTAATGCTCAGATCTGCAAAAGCAGACATTGAGGCCTTAATAATAAAAATCAAACCTTAGGTGTAAGCACTGAAGTAAATTAATGTTAGATACATGGAATATCCCTTCAAAAGAATCTGAAACATCTATACAAAAGAAAAGATCCCTTACAACCAAAACACGAAATAATATTGAATGATTGCTTTTTTTCAGTAAGAAACAGTGATAAGACAACTGCACTTGGGAGAAATACAATGGTATCTTAACCTTCTTGGCCTTACTCCTACCCAGCTTGCAGCTGCTTGTGGTACCACAGAGGATCTCAC